CCTCACCAGGTAGGGTAAATCAGAGATACCAACAAATACCGTGAACCTCAAGTAAACCAGGACTCCAAGGCAATGTGATGGAGGTTGTCTGAAACAATACATTGAGAATCCACAGCTGATGGATTTAAATAATTTAAGAAGGATATGAGAGAGGCTCAGCCATCAGATTTTACAACACTTTTTTTTTTTTGCATCTGTTTTTATTTGAAAGCTCTCTTTTTCTTTTATCATGGCATGGGGGAGTGCTTGACAAGTTACACCTCTCTTGAAAATTTTCAAATCTATTTTGTATTTAAGAATTGTAGGGAACCAGCAGTTAGCGTAATGGCTATGTCACTGGACTCCCACGTAGTCGACCGCGGTTCGCGTCCCAGACCCAGTGGCTTAAAACTCACGCTGGATGTGTGTGCGTGCGTGCCCAAGATCCCGAGAGGAGAATGGAGGAGAAGGGATTGCGGCGTGACCATCCCCCCTGGGGGGTGATTTCTCGCTTTCTGTCTCTATGTCTCTCTCTGTCTGTCTGGCGAGCGTACACCCCCCTATAGCAAAAAACCTCTCAAAAAAAAAAAAAAAAAAATTTCTCTCAAAAAAAAAAAAAAAAGATTTTGAGCATGTCTGCATACACACCTGGCTTTTCAGGCCTCTTTATTTCTTTCATGAGAAGCCCCCACCCACGTAGGGTCTTGTCATCCCACAGGGTCTCGTCATAGCACAATCCCTCTCCCTCGTCTTCCGGTTTGTCAGGATCTTGGGTGAGTGCACACCTGGTGTGTTTCAGGTAGCCTCGGGATCTGAAGCTGCAGTCAGCCGTGGGGCTCCTGCACTGCAGGTGGCCACACTCCCTGTGCGGTGGAGGCTGGGTCTACTGTTTCACCTTTCCGTTTAAATCAGCCATCACCTGAAACTGATTTTCATGTGTAGCGTGAGAGGAGAGCCAAGAGTTTTGTTTTTTGTTTTGTTTTGTTTTGTTTGTTTGTTTTTTTGCGATAAAGTGTGTGCACTTGCCAGAGAGAGACAGAGCGAGAAAATGAGAAATCACCCTTCAGGGGGACTTGGGGCATGCACATACAAACACCCTGTGTGATTTTCAAGCTGCATGTATGGGATTCGAACCATGTAGTCAGCCCTGTGGGGTCCAGTGTCTTAACTTCCATGTCACTTGCTGGCCTGATTTCTTTTATTTTTTAATGTGGACAGTCAAAGCTGATTATGAAGACTGTCCTTTCCTCGCTCCTTTGAGCTGGAAGTTTTGTCCTCTCTCTCCAGCGTCTGTGTGTGTATGTATTTCTGGACTCCGTTCTCTTTTCTTGGCTGTCTTTTTACCTTTGACCGCTACTACATTGTCTCAACTGTAGCACATTTATAATAAGTCTTCATTTCCAATAGAACAGATACTTCAGTTTTGTTCTTGCTTTAATGAATGTTCTTCTTATCCTTGGGTTTTTGTATTTCCAATTAACTTTGGAAGCAGATTGTCCATTAAAAAAAATAGTAAGGTGTTGGCATTCTGATCCGAGCTACACTGAATCAATAGTTCAGTTTGGAAAGTCAGTCATTTCGTTTTCTTAAGTCCTACATTCCTCTTCTGAAAGGAAGAGGACAAAAAACTCACCGAGCAGTCATGGACATTACATGAGATGATGCATGTGCAAACTGAGGGGGCAAAACTATGGAACTTGTTATGACCTGAGAGGGGAGAGGTGCAAGGACTGGGGAAAATCTCTTACGAGGGGTTTTCAGTAGGAGCGGCTCTGCGGTCTGGTTGCTGGGGTCTCCTGTAGCCCAGGATGTCCTAAACACAGGCTGGGATTCAGGAGGAAGGGGCCGTGAGATTGTCCGGCATCGGTGTTCGCATCACACTCCCAGGGTCGCCATCTTCCTTCTTATCTGTTTGCCTTCTAATGGCTCTTACTTCGTAGACTTGGAAGTGAGGGGAGAATCGCATTCTGGTTTATGCCCACACACACTGGGTGTCAGGCCTACTCTGGGCAGGTCTGCCTCTCCCCTGGTTCTGTGTAGAACGGGGCCTAGAGAGAGGACCAGGCACCACCAATGGGGAAGAGGCATTAAACAGCCCCATGTGACCCCCTCACTGTCGATCCCCCTCTTCTGCTCCCCGGAGCATGTTCTGAGATAAGTGTGTGTGTGCGCGCGTGTGCGTGTGCACTGGGTGTCAGGCCTACTCTGGGCAGGTCTGCCTCTCCCCTGGTTCTGTGTAGAACGGGGCCTAGAGAGAGGACCAGGCACCACCAATGGGGAAGAGGCATTAAACAGCCCCATGTGACCCCCTCACTGTCGATCCCCCTCTTCTGCTCCCCGGAGCATGTTCTGAGATAAGTGTGTGTGTGCGCGCGTGTGCGTGTGCACGGGAGCATGTGCATGTGGTAAGGAATGAATGGGAGCCAATCTGTCTCTCCAGGCACCTCCTCTCTCCACAATCCTCAGCTTCCTCCAGTCCCTTCTTTCAAAGGCTTGTTCTAGAATCTCCTGAACAAATATCTTTTGCCAAAGAAGCCTCCCCAGGCTAAGACAGAAAGGGGTCAAGTTGGCCCCACAGGTCATTCTCTCTTCGCCTGGGTCTTCAGGAGCTGTCGGTGGAGCCCATGGCATGGTGGCCCCTGCCTAGCAGAGCTGGTCGTCTTCATTTACCCAGAGGAGCCCCACTAGCTGGGGATGTCTCAGGCCCCTCAGGCTCCCTCTGCCCTTCTGCCCAATCCAACTCTCCAAGAGGAAGCCCAGGAATGGAAATGAGCACTGACTTATGAGAAGCAGACGCGGAGAACGGGGAGAAGGCTGTGGGGCTGGCTCGGGCAGTGCCTGGGTGTCTGGCAGGGCCCCACACGGGCAGGGGCAGCTTAGCAGAGTCCTGCCTGCCTTCACAGCTCCCTGCATGGCCGATCGAGAGTGGGGCTTGCCAGGAAGGGCGAAGGTACCGAAGAGGATCAGGGGTGTCCTTCTTCAGCTCGGCACAACTGGGCCAGAACCCCCTGAGGGACTGTGGCAGAAAGGCTGGGCAGGTGGACCCCCAGAGAATATCCCGGACTCCTTTTCAGTGGGGCAGGGGAATGGGGACGCGTGGATGCCTGACCTCGAGAACATTCGGATTCCTACTTTTTGCACCCCCTCTCAGCCCTTCTGAGCAGCCAACCTGCAGCTGAGGGGAGCCAGATGTTCCTCTGGAAAGCCGGCATCCCCCCACCCTCGTCCGGCCGCCAGCCAGAGGCCTCTCTAAAGGCTGGGTGCCTGGCGGTAGGGGGTGAGGAGGAAGGAAAGGAGTGGGAGAAAATTAGACAAAGGAAGACCACCATAAACCCAGCAGCCTGCCTGTAATCACCAGAGCCCTTTGTTTAGAGCGGGTTTAAACACGTTGTGATCCTTTGGAAGGGGAGGCCATAAACCCAGGGAGAATAAAAGTGTTTACAGCAAGGGAGACCCAGGTGCTGGGGGTTCGCTGCGCCAGGATCAATGGGGGAGTCCAGGCAGAGTGGCCTGGCTTGCCTCTGCTTTTAGGTGGGCGTCTCCTAACCTCAGCCGCAGTCATAGGTACCCCCACCCCCTGTTGCCCCCCACCCCCTGCTTCAGGCAGGCCAGAGACAATCCCACATTCCGACCTGGCGAGACAAGAGGACAGGGCCCAGGGCCTGCGACACAGAGAAGGTCTTCGCCTGAGGCCCAGGTCTTCAGTGTGTTGGGAGCTCTACAAATTCCTTTCTAATGGACTTGAGGGGTCACACTAATAAGAGAGTCTGAGGCCAGCTGTTTCTTAAATAAATGCCCCTGAGGCCCAACTTGGCAGGCTGGGAGGTGTAAGGAGGGAAGTTTTACCTGAGGGAGCAACATTCCTCCAGGAGCTTCCTGCAGGCTGTGGGTGGTGGGAGGAAGGCGGATGCTCAGGAAGGCAAGGCTGAAGGAGGTGACACCAGCTGCGAGCAGCGCCCTGCACACCTTTGCCCATGTTCTGTCCTCTGCCCTGCCAGCCATGGAACACGAACATCCACAATCATCCATTTATTTAACAAAAGTAATGGGCACCTGTCTTAGGGTAGACAACCAGGAGCTGCAGGGAGGCCAGCTCTGCAGGGACACAGTCCCTGTCCTAAAGTAGGGCAATTTGGGGATGGCTAGCAACCATATTTTCAGGACCTGGATAGACACGCATACTCATTTTTTTTCTTTTCTTTTCTTTTTTTTTTTTTTTGAGAGGTTTTTGCTATAGGGTGCGTGCACTCACCAGACAGACAGAGAGAGACAGAGAGACAGAAAGCAAGAAATCACCCCCCAGGGAGGATGGCCACGCTGCAATCCCTTCTCCTCCATTCTCCTCTCGGGATCTTGGGCACGCACGCACATGCACTTGGCGTGACTTTTAAGCCACCGGGTCCAGGACGCAAACTGCCGTCGACTACGTGGGCGTCCAGCGACATAGCCATTATGCTAACTGCTGGTCCCCCACACATACTCATTCTTTAAGAGAGATTTTTGCTACAGGTGCATGTACTCACTGAAGAGACAGAGACATAGAGAGAAAGCGAGAAATCACCCTCCAGGGGGCATGGCCATGACACAATCCCTTCTCCTCCATTCTCTACTCAGGATTTCGGCATGCATGCACTCACACCCAGCATGAGTTTCAAGCCACCAGGTCTGGGACTTGAACTGCAGTCAGCCATGTGAAAGTCCAGCGCCTTAACCACCATGCTACCTGCTGGGCCTTAATTCATGTTTTTAGAATGACTAATCACCCCAAGAACATATGTGACTATGTAACGAGGCACGTTTGGAAAATGACAGTACCGAATAAAACAATGTGACTCTTCAATACTACTCTGATGTCACACAGTATCATTTGTTCATGCTTGCTGGGAAAGGCCGCCTGCCATTTTTGTAACAAAAAAAAAAAATCACACTAAGGTCACAATCATGCTAATGAGGAGAATGAGTCATGAGAGGCGCACACAGGAACCATGGGGTCCTTTTCACTCTTAAAGCATTTGTGTGGCTTTTTAACTCGTGACTTTCTTTAAAGAGGTGCCGCTAAGCAGGGACCTCCGCGAGACAAGAGTGGAGTTGAAAGTGTCTCTTTCTGCCATCCGTGTAATCAGATCTCGGAGCAGAGGCTGATAGAGACGAGCTGTGTTCTGGAACACCCAAGATGGTTTTCTTCATTAGAACAGGTGAGAAAATAAGCGAAGGTGTTTGTTTGTCGTTTGACCAGAGGATACATACATTTGCTAGAGAGAAGGAAAAGAACAGAGCACCCCCTAAAGGGGCTGGACCATGCCACAATCCCTTCTCTATTTCTCCATCCTGTCAGGTTATGGGGCATTCCCCGTGTCCTGAGCGCTGGGACAGACAGTGGCGATACAACGTGAATGACGTGGTCCTTTGCCACGGACCAACGCACACAGAGGCAGATCACTTCGAAGGTGCGATGGATTTGGGGTAGAGTGGAGAAGTGCCTTGCCTCACTTGGGGCGGCGTTAGGGATAATGGCGTGTCTAGTTCCGTAAGCCTTCAGAGAAAGTGGTGCCTGCTATAGAAAATAAAGTTTTAACCTTTCAAGACATGCCAATAAATATCCACTAAAGTCATTTAGAAATCATCATGGGTGGGTTCAATAGGAATAAAACTGTTTTGTGTAAGCTCCCCTCCGCCCTACTTCCTGCTAGGTGGCAGGTCATTTAAAATATTTTTAACATTGTGATTCGTGGTTTACATACAATTGGACGTACATCTTGGCTAGTTACAGTAGAGTTTTTCAAAGCATGTATTCAGGGTGTCATAACCAAATCAAGGACATAGACATATTCTTTTTATATGACATTGAACATTACGCGTACATTAGTATCACTAGATTTTTTTCTTTTTTCTTTTTTTTCTTTTTAAGTATGTGTTGAATTGTCAGTGGCATTTTTCACCCTGGTGATGCACTGGTTCATACGCGAACTCTCTTGCCGAACACCTGTTGGGTGTCTACCTGCGGATCTGCTCTGGTGGAGGCCCAATGCCGGCAGACGAGTACGAAATGACCGTCTCCTGCGAGGTGTGATTCTAATCAGCAGGTGGAACGCTGACTGCCGTCGAGGTAGCTGAGGCCGAGCCTGAAGTACTTCGTGAGTATAACGAAGCAGTGTGGCCTTACATGGGCACAACTCTCAGTTTTTGAGTCATTGAATTATTTAGAAGCCACCCTTCTTTATGGGCTCATATTCCTTTCCTGATCCTACATACGTGGGGACTACAGAAAAATTGTGGAAAAGTGGAAGTTTTCATGGGGGAAAAAATTGCAATCCATGCATAGTCCTTTGATTGTTTTTGGAGAGGTTTTTGCTATAGGGCTCATGTGCTCACTAGAAAGAGAGAGAGACAGAAAGGCAGAAAGCAAGAAATCACCCTCCGTGGAGGATGGCCACGCCACAGTCCCTTCTCCTCCATTCCCCTCTCAGGATTTTGGGCTTACATGCACACACACTCAGAATGAGTTTAAGCCACTGGGTCTGGGACTTGAACCGCGGTTGATTACATGGGAGTCCAGCGACATAGCCGTTACACCAATTGGTGGTCCCCATAGTCTTTTTTCTTTTCTTTTTTTTTTTGGAGAGGTTTTTGCTATAGGGCACATGCGCTCACCAGACAGATAGAGAGAGACATAGAGACAGAAAGCGAGAAATCACCTCCCAGGGGGGATGGCCGCGCCACAATCCTTCTCCTCCGTTCTCCTCTCGGAATCTTAGGCACGCACGCACACGCGCCCGGCGTGAGTTTTAAGCCACCGGGTCGGGAACGCAAACCACGGTCGACTACGTGGGAGTCCAGCGACATAGCCATTACACCAACTGCTGGTCCCCCCACAGTCTTTTCATAATTCTTATTTTCCATGAACTTTTTGAAGACCCCTTGCATAGTACATTGAGGTTACAAAATTGGCCTATGGGGGCCAACAGGTGGTGTAGTGATTCAGGTGCTGGATTTCCACATTGTTGACCACAGTTCAAGTCCCGTCCCTAGTGGCTTGAAACTCACATGGGGGGCATGTGCATGCGTGCCCAAATTCCTGAAAGGAGAATGGAGGAGAAGGGATTGCAGCATGGTCACCCCCCCTTAGGCCCCCAGAAGGGGAGTAATTTCTTACTTTCAGTCTCTCTGTCTCTCTAGTGAGCACAAGTGCCCAATAACAAAAATCTCTCAAAAAAAAAAAAAATCAGTCTTTGTTGGTCAGCAGTGACATCTCTGTGAAGCATTTTGCAACACTGCTTTTCAGAAAAGTGTGGGGCTGTCCCTAGAGAATTGACCGGGGAACTGGGTCCGGGATGAGCAGTGGGTAGGGAACTTTACCTGTGAGAGTCAAGCCCCAGAGTCATCTTCTCAGCGTGGCCACCTCTCCCCCACATTCCACAGTGAATTTTGTCCCTTGCACCTCCCCTAAGGGCCCCAGCTTGATGGCGCGTGGAGATGGGCTCTAGCAGGAAAGAGGGAAAAGAGGCGGCCGATATTTAGTGAGCATCTACTGCAAGCCAGGTGTGACCCCGCTGGACAGTGACATGGACTCTGGAGATGGCGGAGGTCCTTCTTACAGTCAAGAAGGCTGGTCCCTGTGACCCAGCGAGGCAGAGTCAGGTCCAGGCCCCACATGCGTGGTCTGCCCTCTGCACAGCTGTGCTTCCTAAGCCAGCATGCGTCTTACTCCTTCAAGTAAGCGCTTAGTGGGGGGCTGTGCCAGGAACCCGAGAAATCACAGGCAAATGGGGGCAAATTGCAATTATTCGCTTTTCATTATGGCACAAATGTCAGGTATTTGTTTTTTTTTTTTTTTTTTAATGAGAGAAAGTGCAGGATGAAGAGAGACAGACAGAGAGAGATTTTTGACAGGGTTTTCCACATTGGGAACCTCCTGCCTCAGCCTCCCAGTTAGCTAGGAGCACAGATAAAGCCCACGCAGCCTCGCTGGCCTGTTTAGGTTGGTCTGGGAACTGAACCCAGGCCTCCCATGTGACTTCAGACTCGTGCAGTGATGTCCTCCCACGTGCACTCCCACAGCTGGGTCATAAACTTCAGTTTTATGTTCACGGAATAGAATGCAACATATTTGTGGATGTTGGCAATAAAAGGGGGTATCCAAAGACATTGTAAGTCTGCCTCGTCCCATCTCGGGTGATACCCTACCCCCCGAGGGCTGCCTCACCCCTGCTCCCGGGAACTCGAACCTTGGTCAACTACGTGCGAGTCCAGCGACAGAGCCATTACGCCACCTGTTGGTCCCCCTGTGTGGTTTGGGTCAGACTCGCACCCAGAGTCACCCTTGTGGGATTCAGCTGCCTTAACCTCCCCGCCTGCTGCCGGTCCCACATCATATTCACTTCTTTTTGTTTAAGAGAGATTTTTGCTATAGGTTACACGCACTCTCTAGAGAGACAGAGACAGAAAGTGAGAAGTCACTCTCCAGGGGGATGGCCACGTCATATCCCTTCTCCATTCTCCTCTTGGGATCTTGGGCACACTCAGGCAAGCGCCTGGCATGAGTTTCAAGGCACCAGGTCCAGACTCAAACCAGGTCGCCCACCTGGGAGTCCAGAGATGTAACCATCACACCAAATGCTGGTCCCCATATGTACTTCTAAATCAAGAGAAGGTGGTGACTATCTGTGGTTGCTCCCTCCAGTGCCTGAGGATTGAGGAGGCGGTGAGGAGAGAGGAGCGCTGGGTCCTATTGTCCAGCTACTCTTGCCTTGAGGCTGGATCGCTCCTCTCTGGCCCAGAGAGGGCCAGAGAGGGCTGCACAGGGGCAGGCTCGCTGCGGGGCACCCCGCCTACAGTCTGGGGCCCAAGTTTTTGAAGCAACTTGTTTGAGCCCAGAAAAGCGCACATTTTTTAAAAAATTTTCCCTTTCAAATTTTACTTCCTTCATTCTTCCATGAGCAAGAGAGAGAGAGAGAGAGAGCGAGAGAGAGAAACACACACACACGGGTACCTCCAACAGGGTCCTGATGCAGCAATCCACTCCAGCCTTACCCACCCCAGCTCCTGGGCTTGCGTGTGCTGGCTGTGCCCAGGCGGGTGTCTGGGTGCAAAGCCAGAACCTTCACGTGTGGGTCGCCTTGCAGTGTGTGGTTTCCAGCTGCACCGGAAGGCCCTCGGAGCCAGCATGTCCAAACAGTAGTAATTGCACCACCCAGCTGCAGGGACATCAGCAGCATTTTCGTTTTGTTTTCAGAGGAAAAAAAAGATAGAAAAAGCAAAGGAAAAAAATACCTTGGACGCCTGGAGATAGAGCCACAGTCCCCTAAGATGAATGGACACACAGACTGGAGCTGTGGGAGGACCTTTATTAAACTTCTACTGAACAGAGCAGTCTTTGCTTTTCATTCTGGGTTCTCCTAAAACCTTTTCCGGAGAAGCAGATACGCAGAGAGGAAGAGGTAGGGGAACAGAATGGGGACTATACTGTACAGGCCCCGGCTTGTGAAAAAGACACGTGAGCGCGTTCCCCTGACACGGGCGCTGGCTCAGGTCCCTCCTCACACAGGCCAGGGTGCTGGAACTGGGAGCAGAGGGGATGCATGTGGTGGGGGCCTCTGCTGGGGCTGCATGGAAGCCAGGTGTGAATGAAGAAAACTGGGCAGGCGCCCAGCCCTAGGGTGACAGCAGAAGTCTAGATGCTGCTGCTCAGCAGGCCGAGGCCACATAGGAGGCCCAGGGTTCAATTCCTGACCCACCTTAGAAAAGCCAGGGTTCAGGACGCACTCATGGAATCTCAGCTGTTCAGCCAGTTGAGGCAGGATGATTGGGATTTAGTAAGGCTTTGTCTAAAAAGTGCCACATACAGGGGAAGCAGGTGGTGCAGTGGTTAAGGCATTGGACTACCACATGGTGAACCACGGTTCAAGTCCCAGACCCAGTGACTTCAAAATCATGCCAGGTGCATGTGCATGCATGCCCAGAACCCCTGGAAGAGAATGGAGGAGAAGGGATCGCAGTGTAACTTCTCACTTTCTCTCTTTCTGGCAAGCACATGTACCCTATGGCAAAAAAATAAAACAAAAATAAAAATAACCAAAAAAACTCCAAAAATATGCCACACACACACACACATGAAGACAGAAGAGAAATGCGGGAGGGAAGGAGGAAGAAGATGTAATGACAGGGAGAGAGAGAAGAGAAGGAAGCAGAGAGGGGAGTTGGAGGTTGGACGGGGAGGGGGCAGGGAAGAAAGTACAGAGTCTAGCAGATGAAACCCGTCTGTGAGTTTTGGGCATCTCTTTACTCTTAAGACAAGCTTGACCCACTTCGTCTCATCTGTAATCTGCTTCGGTATCTAGGGAGGCTTCTCAGCAACTGAACTGAGACGTTCTCTTATCTCCTGATGGGAATGCGGAGTGGTGCTCCCATTCTTACCACCCACCGCAGCTCAGAGTATTTGTCATTCCCTTCAACATGGGGAGAGCCAGGCACTGTGGGAGAGCCAGGCACTGTGCTTGGCCCAGGCTGGGCAGGCACAGAGCCCCCTGTTTCCCACCCAAGTGGAAGAACGTGGAAGGCCCTGTTTTTCCATCTAAACTCCTGTACCATGGACCTCCTATTCTTGTCTGTCTGGCTTGAGTTACTGAGAGCCTAGAATATTCTTAAATAGAGAATAGTACAGTGACCCCACGTGCCTGTTCCCAGCTTCCAGTTTTCAGCTCACGGCCGAGTTTGTTTCTTCCTCTCTCAGACCCCCAGCCCATTCCACACCACCAGATTATTTTAAAACAAATCTCAGCTAGCTCATCACTTACAAAAATCTCAGCAAGCATTTCTAAATGACAAAGACTCCTGATAGTACAACACAGTTTTAGCTCACCTAAGACATTAACAAGGATCCCTTGATAGCATTCGAATATCCAGTCATGGTCCACAGTTCTCTGACTGTATAACATGCATTTCACGTTTGCTTACTGGAGCTGGGGTTCATATAGGGTCCTTGGGATGTGTCTCGTGAGTATCTTTTAATTTACCGATGCTCTATGTATATCCTCTCTGTGTCTCACTCAGAAATGGAGTTGTTTCTTGCAGGCTGAGTTTTGCTGATAGAATTCCTGCATTGTCTTTTTTTTTTAACAAGTTTATTTATTTTTTTAGCAAGAGAGAAGAATGTGGGAGGGGAAATAGCCTCCATGGGGTCTTTACGCTGTGATCCATCGCCCCGCTCTGTAGCCAGCCAGCATCGCGGGTGCACCCGTAGCCACACCCTGGGGCGTTAGGAGAGACCCAGGACAGACCCGGGAGCCTTCCCATGTGGTGTCTGGCGTTGCGTAGCAGCACCCCTGCTGCCTGTATCAGCACCGTTGGGCCGTCCCGGGGTGTCTTTTAACAGGCCCTTCCATCCCTCACATCTCCACATCTGGAGGCTTGGCCAGGTGTGGGTTGTGTGCACCCACGAGACTGCTCCGTAGGCGGTGTGCACTTGCGGTCAGAAGTGCATACTGCCTGGTGGTCCTCCTGTGTACAGTCGGGAGCCATTGGCGATGGTCATCTAGGACCCTTCATGCATTTGGAATTGCAAAGCGGTGGTTTCCCAATTCTCCTGTCCTTTATCATAGCTGGAATACTATAAAACAAGGACTCCCTCATTAACTTTGCTTACTCCAAGGTCTGGATCATACGGAAAATGAGGGGAAATGCTTCTTTCCCTTAACTTGTCAGTTCAAAAATGAAAAAATATTTGGTTCCTTGACGTCCCCCAAGGGTACTGTTATTGTTGTGATGTGTTTTCTGTTACTGCGAACTCAGAGACTTAAACACAAAAGAGCTATTGCAATTGAGTGGCTTTTTTTTTTTTTTTGAGAGGTTTTTGCTATAGGGCGCGTGCACTCGCCAGACAGACAGAGAGAGACAAAGAGACAGAAAGCGAGAAATCACCCCCCGGGGGGATGGCCACACTGCAACCCTTTCTCTTCTGTCCTCCATTTGGGATCTTGGGCACGCATATACACGTGCCTGGTGTGAGTTTAAGCCACCGGGTCTGGGACTCGAACAGCAACATGGGAGTCCAGTGATGTAGCCATTACGCCAATTGCTGGTCCCTCAATCTAGTGGTTTTTGTATTTATTAAAAATGCTTAAAATGGTCATGGGAGCCTTTCCAGGCTTCGGTCCCAAACCTCTCGGGCAACTGAACTTGAATGGCTTCCTTGCTTTTCCAGTATGAGAAAATACGACATATTTTCTGCCCCAGACCAGCAAGGGGCCATTTTCTCCAAGGATTCCTGGTTACTCCTAGTGGGAAATGCTGTGTAGAGATTATGATCTAAGTACTAGAGTACCAATTACTCCTAGGTGCGTCATCGTTTCTCAGGCCTTTTCTGTGGATAAACTAGAAAATATATATTCTTTATTTTACACACACACATGCATATCTGCTTATTTGATACATCTTGCTTATTTATTCCATGAGTGAGAGGGAGACAAGAGAGGGAGAGCGAGCACTCCCAGCAGGATCCCGATCCTGATGCCACTGTCTGTCCTCAGGCTTCAGCCCGCCCCACACCACGGCTGGTGTACACAGGGGAGCCTCTGACTCGAGCTGGGAACCTTTCCGTGTGGATTAGCCTCAGTGGAGCTTAGCACTCTACTGCTGCACCATGGTCCAGCTCCTACTTCTTTTCGTTGTTGTGATTTTTAAACCACCAGGTCCAGGACTCGACCTGTGAAGTTGGCCATGTGAGAATCCAGTGCCTTAACCCCCATGCCACCTGCTGCCCCCCCAAATTCTTTATTAAAGATAAAACTCATCCTCAGGTGGTACTCTGGTAATTATACCAAACTTAGTATTGTAGGGATTGTGCTTAACTTTATCAATCTTGTTGCTGTTGTTGCTAGATTTTGTCTTTTGCCATAGGGCTTGTGTGCTCTACAGAGAGAAATAGAGAGAGGGAAAGTGAGAAGTCACCCAATTCTCCATGGGGGCTGTTTTCTTACTTTTCCTCTGTCTCTCTCTGGCAAATTAAAAAAAAAAAAAAAAGAAAGACAGAAAAAGAGAAAAAGAAAGGAAGGAAGGAAGAAAGAAAGTCAGAAGAAAAGAAAGAAAGAGAAATGAAATAAAGAAAGAAAAAGAAAATCTGCATCAAAGTGTATTTGCAAATATAATTTTTCTAGACATCGCTCAAATCCCCTCCCACTATAAATATGTGAGTGCCGTCTCCTCAGTCTCGCCAACGTTGTACGTTATTAAACGATTGCATTTTCACTGGCAGCCAGTGGAGACGCCACATCTTGGTGTAATTTCACTCTGGGTTTCTCTCAGTGAAAGTGAGGTTGGGACCCTTCCATGTGATGAAGAGCTGCTTTACAGAGTGCTTTTCTTTTGAAATGTGTTCTCATTTCTCACCCATCTCCTCATGGGCTATAAAACCCTCTGTATTATGAGTGCAAACATTTTTCCCTAAATTGTCTTTTGTATTTTACTTTGTAATGTCATGTATAAAGTATTTTGTGGTGGTTTTGTATAAGCAAATGTATCAGTCCCTTGTTATTTCTGGTTTTGAAGCATAGAAACATTTTCCCATTCCTAGTTTTGGGACTTGTAATGTCTTCTCTCGACAAAGTCCCACAAGCAATGGGATCTCTTTCTGAAATTTCGATTCTGGTCTATTAATCTGTTTATTCTTGGACCAATATTAAACTGTTTTCATAAAAAAAGTTTAATAATATACTCTAATGTGTGGTTAAGGTATGTATGGTAAGGCTCTTTTCCTCATTGTTTTTCTTTTCCAGGATTTTCCTCATTATTCTTGCTTGTGCTTGTGTACAAGTCATATTTTAAAGTTTTTAGAAGGGTTTATTTCTGGACCCTCATTCAAAAAAAGAAAATTATTTTAAAAAAGGGTTTGCATCAAAGCCAAATAAATGTTCATACAGATGATATGTATTTGATAAAATTAAGGTATTATCCTTTTTAAAATGGAACTAATGATACGGAATTGGTGTGCGTGTGTGTGTGTGTGTTTCTAGTCTTTATCCTTTAGAGACACACAGTGAAGTGACCACAGATTAAGCCATGATTTACTTTGGCTTGGGTCCGTGGGGAGACAGACAAGAAATACGGTTATCTGCACATTGATAATGTTGGAAGTTGGGTAATGGGTACCTGGGGCTCATTCACCATTCTATTTGCTTTAACGTGTGTTTAAAGTGTCTCAGAATGAAAAGCTTCAAAGGGAGAAAGGGGAGTCAGCTTCTAAAGGCTTTGAAAGGCAGAGCAATATGAGACTTTCCTTACCAGATCTAGCAAGGAGTGGATGCTTCATGTGAGGAAATTTGCGTCAGAAAAGGGTTCGGTAGAACAAAAATACTGGCAGTGTCTAGAGAGCACTACCTCGGCTCAGGGCCAGGGACATTTGCTGGTCATGTTCTCCATTACACCTTTACCTGGAGCAGAGTT